CATTATTAAGAATGTGTATGGTTTCATAATTGATATCAATGGTCACCTGTTCATCGACTGAGTCAAGTTTCAAGACGCAACCAGATGTCACGCAAAAACCATCTGACAAATAAATCTAAGGATTCAAACCAAGACCATGTGCGCGATAAGCGAACGCATACCCCATTGTGCCACCGAACCTTTTAATACAAATCAACCTATTTCTACTATCATAAACTATATAGTCCAATCTGTGCTTATGATACTACGCCAAATCATTTAACCTAAGCCTTGTTCTACACCAAACATTTAATCCTGCTCGAAATACATACAAACATAAACAAAACAATCTTATGTATACCGTATTTGTATTTCCTTAATCGCTTACCTATCGATCATCGATTGGCTGAAATAGACCCATTTAATCACAACTCGATCGAAAAAGGTTGTGTGCATTGAACACAGGACGCACGATCGACTATTGTCTGCCGAGAGTATAATTACGGGCGTATGTTTCGGGAACACAATGCATTTTGACAAGTAAGGCAACTGAGTGCATGGCATGGTCATGCCTGTGCCACCGACGCTAGAACACGACACCAGCTAATTAATAATGGATAAATACGCGGACATGCTATTGGCTTCAATTATGAAAATCCGGTGAAGGATTTCAATTGTGACACGATTATCCGGGGTATCAAGTCCATCGGGCCTGGGTAACCGACCCACATTGCCTCACCGGGGACAAGCCCAGAGTCACGAATAATAATAATAATAATAATAATAATAATAATAATCATCATCATCATCGTCATTATTATTTATTGTTGTTTTTAAGAAGAAGAAAACGATTACGTTTGTAAAGTTTTAGTTCCCGCATGCTCATATCGCGTACAATTCTTATCCGGTCGACGATCAGTGAATTTGTATTCTCAGATCCCTGGAGAGTATACAAGCCAAGCTGCATGTTAGGGACCAGAAAGGTTGTATATTCACATGTCAATCTCATCCTACTCATCTTGTAAACCTAAACTCTCTTTATTACAAAAAAAACCAAAAAACATGTGTTGAATATTCTTAAAACGTTTCGCCTTAAAGCATCACAAAAAGTAACCCCAAAGGAACACAACTTAAGTACCGTTACCTTCATCTCAAAGTAAACTTTACACATTCAATAAAACAAAGTGTTGAAACAAAGAGAATTAATTTTAGAATTAACATTTTTCGTATTAAAAAAACGTCTCTGGTGGGGGATATTATTAGTACCGTGTACTTAAAGCATTGTATTATTACACAAGAACTGTTTGCCATCAGTAAGATCAAAGACGTTTAACTTCGGTGAGTGCGGTGTTACGCCGCTTAATAAATTAATTATCACATTTGCATCCAGTTGTTTTAAAAATGTCAGTCGGGAGGCATGTTATATATTCTTTGAACAAACTGTTCAAGGGGTTTGGGCACATTAACTGTCTTACGGATGTGAGTCACATAAGTTGTTTGTTTGTTGTTTAACGCCGCGCTCAGCGATATTCCAGCTATATGACGGCGGTCTGTAAATAATCAAGTCTGGACCAGACAATCCAGTGATTGACATCATGAGCATCGTTCCACGCAATTGGGATACGATGCATCAAACCAAGTGAGTGAGCCTCACCACCCGATCCCGTTAGTCGCCTCTTACGACAAGCATAGTCGCCTCTTACGGCAACCATGGGTTGCTGAAGACCTAGTCTACCCCGCGGATCTTTACCGGTCGTGATTCACATGAAACATTCATGTTTGTTAGGACTGCGTGTATTTCATCAAGTAAATAACAAAGGAAAATACACAGCGATATTTCTTGTATGTACTGGGGGACGAACAAGTTATGGAGCGGGATGTTTGGTTGTGAGGCGAGCGGGGGTTAAAATCTAATACATTTATTCTGGTCTTACAGTGTTATTCAAACTAAGTTTGTTTAGTTTTCAAACATACCTGTAGCAATAATAATAAACGATCACCATTTGACTATTGGCCAGAAACAAAAACGGGGTAAAACATGCAATTTGAATGACAAGTTAACAATAGCTTAACAATACATCTCCACTGTGTTTCATTGATATACAGCAGGCTTTAATACGTGTTTTCAATACTGAAGTACTGCTGAATCATTATGTCCGCCTTATATCAATTGTTTTTAAATAAAAATGATTTTACGATGTTGAATTTTCTTCTTCAAAACGTAATATGAATACATCTATTCAGATAAGACATGGTATGTGTTTTGATACAAATAACATAATCATGTTGACCATTTGAGTCCCTTATAAATATTGCCTGTGAATAGGTCTTGACGGTTTCCATCTTGTTATTAATTCTTTAAAGATACTTACATCATTATAGCACCGGGTGACTTAAATAAAAATATCGCCAATATCCAGATATTCAATATACGGTTATCTAGAGAATTGAAATTTCGGTTTTAGGGATGTGAGCCGTAGTTTACTGCGTTGTCCTTATCTAAAAGTACGTTGAATTATACACCCCGATAATCTAATGGGAAAAGTCGTTATCTTATGTGTGGGTTATCAATTGATGTGAATAGGAAATATTAATAAATATGCTAAAAATGTTGAAAAGAAGTGGTGTTGTGACCTCTCGGCCACTGTAGCGAGCAATTTACATGGCATAACTCCTTCCCGCTTAGTCGCATACTTCTCCGTTAAGCGTTACACAGCCCGATTAATAACTAGCTCCTATTAATAGTTGCGGCGAGTGGCAGTCTGTATTGTTTCACGGCCACACCCACATACTCTAGATTCGTGCGTTAAAATATTCGCGTAGCCACAGATTTGGCCACAGCGGCCTCAAAGCTTTCCCAGTGCAAAAGCAGCCTTTGTAGCTATGAATATAAACCGTTATGAACGGTGAGGAGCGAACATCACGCTAAAGTCGTTATGCTGTGTGAAACGAAATGTGTCTGCCATTTCACAAGCATGGGAATCTTTCTCGCGCTCGACTGTTTTCAAAATAAACATGGATACATGTGCCCTGATAGAACTTTTAAAAAGTTTATATACATATGGGTCAATCAGAAAATAACGGATGGAGGTCAGAGGTTTCGGGAGTTGAAAGAGGCGTGACGTTTAAATACCCACTGGTGCATGGGGTTTGGTCATTAGCGGAACACACGCTGGACATGGGGGATGGTGGTGGGGTGTGTGGGGTGGGGTGGGGGGGTTGAGAGGCAGGACTTCTTGTATAGAGGCAGACGGCTCGCATTACACGTATGTTTGTGTGAAGCAGACGATATAAGCCATTTCGCCGGATATGACAGCTCGATCTAGCGGTAATGCTTTTTCATCGCAGGATGTTTTGTTGGGAAGCGACCACACCCTCTCTCCGTGGCTTCAGCCATTGCGGACAAGGTCGTGGCCGTTCGGGCTTCACACTTCCTCGGTCGATACTGCTCATATTGTTACCAGCCATCAACATTCTCTGTCTGGCACAGCCAGGGATAAAAACGCTGAGAGCTGGTGTGTAACTCGAGTACGCACACCACTCCCTCTCTGCGTAAGTTGAAACTTGTAGAATGTACAAAAAAACCTCGAGTAAGCACTCCGCATCAATGAAGGCCAGTCTCCAGTTCCTTGCGGTAGAACTGTTCTGACGAATACAACCAACAAAGAAGAGGGACGTATGCGTCCTATTAACACACATAAACAATCGTTCATATTCCGCAGCATTATGATACATAAGTGTATAAGTTGTCGGTACTCTGCGCTGTGGGATCCGACATCTTAGACCCTGCGCCCCAGCACCCACCACGTGGTGGACAACGGTACCAGGCGTCCGAGGTCCACGAACAGGATCATACTTCAAGGGCAGACGCTGACAAAAGTGATCATTGGGACACATTGGCGTTTAGGTAGAATCATTCCTGTGCTTGAACGGTGGTATGATTTGCTTAATGTGTAGCTACAGGGATCCAGTGTCTGTTGATGTTTCTGTGTGGGGAGGGACGGGGGGCGGGAGGGGGATTTTAGTGTTTGGAGAATAAGGGGTTGGGTATTCATGACGGACATATTCAAAGGAGGATATGATCAATACATGTATGTAAGCGACTGAGTATAAGATGTGACGGTGACCCTTTGTCGTTATCGTTACCATCATCATCATCATCATCATGACTGTTATTACTATCCTTATAGTAGTGATTCATAATGCGGACCAAATACACTCAGAAAATTCACAATTCACATGAAGGAATTTGAAATGAACAGAATTGCTAAATAATAATGCTAATATTAATAACACATGCAGAAATAATAATAATAATAATAATGACAATAATAATAATAATAATCTCTACTTTAAATTAATTATAATATTTTGGAATTATTACCAGTGACAAATAAACAGGATGTCAATATGCTGATTGTACGTCATATGCATGTTATCTGATCCGCGTAAGACGTGATGATTGCCCACACAGTTGTTATAGTTCATTCATGCAGTTTAGTTATAAATACACGGCTCGCGTTGCTCAATTCCCATAGACGATATGAACATTTACTACAGCGAGTCTTTGTACTACAATAAAAGCACGAGCATTAACACGCTATGAGGAAACTCGTGAAGGTAGCATCACATCAGGGGTCGCGTATTCACTAACTTCTATATCACATACAGGTAATAATCGCAGGGGTGAGAGACAATGTGCCACCCGGTGTTAAGATAACCTGTAATTATAGCACGGTTTAAATACAAGGAGACACCCGGTGTCCATGCAAACCTGTAATAAATGTAGGGTTAAAAGACAATAAGAATCCCCGGTCAATCTAAACCTGTAAATGAGGACAATGCGCCACCAGGTGTCAAGGTAAACCAGCAATTATAGCGGGTTGACATAAAAGACACCCGGTGTCGAGGCAAACCTGTAAGTAAATCCTCGGTATGGTGGTGCACAAAACATGTTTCGAGGTATATCCACGTACTTGAGATTCAGAAGCTATGACATATTCCGGCCGGTCGTTACTTACTTTGGCGTTGATAAGAATCACACACACAAGGAGGAGTAGCTCTAGAACAGCTGACGCGGTCTTAACCCTAGGGTAGAGTTTGGCCATACCAAGACGGCGACACAATAAGTTTACAGTAGTGGACCCACGGGTCGGTAGATGGAGGCGTTCATGCGGTCGTCACCAACAGTCTTGGATACAAGAACACTGGGTGTACTACCCGCTATATATCCGAACCGATTCCACTTGAACGCCGGCATATATATTTTTGAATTGTCAAACTGTAAGTAGTTTATGCTCCCTCCTTGGTGCAGTAATCCATGTGGGTGGATCGGCAGGTATTTGGGGGTCCGACCGAGAGCCGGACCCCACCAAATTACGATCATAAATTGTCAACATTGACCCCCAATGACTGTTGTGAAGTACTGTAGACGGTCCTCAATCCATACCCCGACTGTGAACTCGAACTGTTGGGAATACCGCTCCGAGTCTGACCAATCGCGTCGCAGCTGAGATCACTTCCCTCTCTGTTGTGACGAAGTAAGGGAACAGTTCACAGCGTGTGCTGTTCTCCCGCGGCCGAGAGCGTGTGCTGTGTTTACTGAAAAGAGACGCATCGAACGATTGAGTCCATGTATCTGGGTTATTAATATGTGCAGCGTCGACTAGCGACTTATGTCACTAAGCTGCGATCGGCACACGCCATGCAAATTCATGATGCAAAGTTTGTTTGCTTACACGGGGCGTGGTTGTTTAGTCAGGCGATATATGCAGCCTCGCGTCCGCTAACAGTTGGAGCCTGAGCGGCAAGTCTGTCCAACGAATGTGAATTCATACGGCTTGAGTTTAACCATCAGTCAGCCATCAGTTCGACCATACAGCAAGCCAAATGTGCCAGGCAAGCACGGGGCTAATATCTAATTCATAATGGGTGTAACAGCATATTTGAGAGGTGGGCTGTCGGAAAAGACGAGATTAATGTCAAGAGCGTCAATTCATCATAACATGGCACATATGTGTGTACACCCACTTTGTGGTTGCCCAGCGACCAAGTCCCGTCACGGCTGTAGAAGCGCCTTTAAAAGTGACGTGACTTGTCCCCCAAGCTACACACACTGGGATTTCTATCGATATCCATCAGATCGTAGTTTGAATGGGATGAGGAGACGAGAAAGGCAGCTCATTCTGATGATTAGCGTTAGTTATCGGACATATATTATGTCGAAGAAGATTGTTTCATTTACGCGTCAAACATTGCGTGGCTGATAAAAAGAGCATGCAAGTATGCAAGTATACATTTAGTAATTTAATTAATTCACAAATCGGCAACATTGGAAGAGATGTAAATTTTCTCTGACAATGCGTCGAAATTGTACACAATTTGTTTTTTAATAATACGCCAGTCTGCAATGTTTTGTTTTGAATCAAAAACGAAGATGTGCCAAATATGTGAATTTGGACAACATTCGTGAAAGTTGATCCCACAACTAATTTTGACAGTGATTCCATCAATATTGCCAACGTGGGTGAATGCTGTTTTATGCCGCAGCTAGATGTAATTAGCCTGTAATTAAAGTGTCTCGGTGTATGAAACAATGGTTGATAGCATGAACCTGGTCAATATGGCTTTATATCCGTAGAATAGGTCTTCAGCAACCCATGCTTGCCGTAAAAGGCGACTATGCTTGTCGTATGAGGCGACTGACGGGATCGGGTGGTCAGGCTCGTAGACTTGGTTGATGAATGTCATCGTATCCCAATTGCGTCGATCGATGTTTATGCTATCAATCACTGGATTGTCTGGTCCCGACTAGACCATTTAGAGACCGCTGTCATATACCTGGAAACTCTTAACAAATAGCATGAACACTTATTGGGTATGCGTGTTCCGCATGGTTAGAAATATGCTGCGTGGCTGTGACCTTGACCTTGGCATTAAAAGATTTCGCAACCTATCTCGAAGTATGGATTATTGTAAAGTAGGATCATTTAAGTGTGTTCGGAAAGTATCCGCTTTCTGAAAACGTCCCCGTTGATCACCCTTTCACTCGTCTAGGGCGCCGCAATTTGGTGTGCAGAGTTGCTTCCCTTAGGCGGGACAGAAACCTAGGACTGTGCGTTCGAACTCCGGGTCGCGCTGATGGGGTTCTTGGTTTATCAGCACCATATCCGTGTACGTGGGTTTCACCAAAGTGGTAAGCCATCTGCATCACTCCGGGCTTTCCTCCCACATCAAGCTGACATGCCGTGATATAACTGGAATACTGTTTAAAGGGGCTTTGCGCCCCTCACACACTCTTCCTATCTGGCACCCGTGCCTGTATACGAGGCGGAGTCATTTGTACACGATATATCAAGAAACAAAAACATGAAAGTACATAATTTGACAATGCATTTATTTTACATTCACTTACCCATGGACTTTTCTCGAAGCACTTAAACTGGTGCAATTAAATAATAAACTCTCAATATTTCTATTTGTTTATTTCCAACGTCATTTTCAGTCATCACCCCTCTAATCTCTGAGCATCAGCCTACATCATTTGGGAAACGATGACATGCATCAATCAAGTCAGCGAGCCTGACCACCCGACCCCGTTAGTCGCCTCTCACGACAAGCATGGGTTGCTGAAGACCAATTCTAACCCGGATCTTCACGGATGCGCGTGACATAAACTTGTCGGAGAAAATATGGTAATCTATGACGTGCATATATCTGTTATACAGCCTATGCTGAGAACAGGGCTCATATCGCTCCCTGAACATGGATGATGATGATGCGTTTTTCCTCACACGAGTCTTGCACCTGACACAGCAGAGTATCGTAAGGCCACAGTACTGAGTAGGCGGGGTTCATTTTATTTTTTATATTTCCTGAATTTTTAACCAACTGTTCAAGGCATCTGTGTATACATCAACTGTCGACGTGATTCACGTGGGGCATGCTACACATAGGGGGTATTTCATCACGTAAACACAGAGGGCAAACATAGTGGTTTTCTTCGTCTGTAGGTACTTGGGGACACTCAGTGATGTGATGCGGACTGTTTGGTAGCTATGAGGGCGGATTGACAATCTAATAATTAATTTATGATGGCCTCAAGTCAGGGTTGCAACAGTTGTATTGTGAAATGACATCAGAATTTGATTTATAGATTGGGATCAGAATATAACTATGTTGTTGATCTTTAATTGTATTGAATGTTATTGATAATGGTGACAATTGTTCCGAGCACGATGGTGGTGTTTTAAGAGTTGATGTTGATTACGGTAGTTGTGGTGGAGATGATTTTTATGGTGATGGCTATGATGATGATGATGATGATTGAGTTTTGTTTTACGTCACTTTGAACAGTATTTCAGATAAGACATCAGGGCCACCCGTGCCCCCGATGAAGGTCATTATAATGATGATGAAGATGATGATGGTGGTGGTGACGACGATGTCTGTTATAATTGTGATATTGATGATAGTAGTTGTAAAGTTAATGGTGGTAGTGGTGGTGACGATGATGTCTGTTATAATTGTGATATTGATGATAGTAGTTGTAAAGTTAATGGTGGTAGTGGTGGTGACGATGATGTCTGTTATAATTGTGATATTGATGATAGTAGTTGTAAAGTTAATGGTGGTAGTGGTGGTGACGATGATGTCTGTTATAATTGTGATATTGATGATAGTAGTTGTAAAGTTAATTGTGGTAGTGGTGGTGACAACGATGTCTGTTATAATTGTGATATTGATGATAGTAGTTGTAAAGTTAATTGTGGTAGTGGTGGTGACGATGATGTCTGTTATAATTGTGATATTGATGATAGTAGTTGTAAAGTTAATTGTGGTAGTGGTGATGACGACGATGTGGATGACAATGTTGTTGATCTTAGTGGCGGTGATGTTAAAGATGTGTAAGGGGATTTTGGGTGGTGATGATGATGATGTACTTTTGTACAGCGATAAGGGGGTGGGATGGGTATGATGATGATGATGATGAAGTTGGGGATGATGATGATGATGATGGTGATGGTGACGAAGATGGTGTTTTAATTGTGAATTTGATGGCAGTACCTGTGATGTTGATGATGATGGTGATGATGATGATGTACATTTGTACAGGGATAAGGGGGTGGGTGGGGGGATGGGGGATGGGGGGTATGATGATGATGATGATGATGATGATGATGAAGTTGGAGATGATAATGTTGATTATGATGACAATGATGATGGTGACGGTGACGAAGATGGTGTTTTAATTTCGACTTTGATGGCAGTACCTGTGATGGTGATGATTATGATGACAATGATGGTGATGATGATGATGATGATGGTGGTGATGATGATGATGACGATAATGAGTATGGTATGATGGGTATGATGATGATGTTAGTAATGTATAGCGCATCAAAATTGCTTCACACAACGGTCACGTGGGACTGTATGGATACTGTTCATAGAGTCGCTCCATGGGTAGTTCATAGAAAAGGGATAGCGTCTTTAACCGTCAATATTACATTGTGTAATGTCTGTCCAGGAAATACAAAGTAGCAAAGCTATGGCTACAGGATCTGCACTCAACATCTGTAATAAACCATGATCACTCTTATGATACGTACTCCAGCATTGGGTAGCTGATGTTTAAGTCGTGTTCTAAACCTTTCATCACAAGGATGCTGTTTCTTAAGGTCGGGTTCCTGTTTTCCATGCAACCGGACCCTAAATAAACAGCAGAGTGGTTTATGTCATGGTGTGCGTGGCGATCTAGTTACATTATAATCGGACAATACCATCTGCAGTCAGGAATCATATCCCCTATGTTATCGTAGGAGAGAGAGAGAGAGAGAGAGAGAGAGAGAGAGAGAGAGAGAGAGAGAGAGAGAGAGAGAGAGAGTTGGGTTTAACACCGCTTTTAACAGTATTCCAGTTGTATCGCGGCGTGTCAGCTTAATGTGGGAGAAAAGCCCGAAGTGATGCAGGTCTCAGACGTTTACCACTTTGGTGAAACCCACGAGCAAGGGTATGGTGCTGACAAACCTAGAAACATAATCGGGGCGAACCGGGATTCGAACCCACAATCATAGGTTTCTGGCGTGCCCAAGGGACGTAACTCTGCACAGCGAATCGCCGCGCCTTAGACGACTGGGCCACCCATGCCCCCATGTATTTTTGAGACCAATCTGGTGTACCCTGTCGAATGATTATCGAAAAGCTGAATCATGCAGAGATTTCTTGAGGCTTCTTAGGAACTGGCCAGGCGGCATATGCAAATGCTCTATATGTAAATAATTTATGATACATGATTCTCCCCTGTGATGTCATTTTAGCTATTTTACTTTAAATATAATTTAGCTTCCTATGTTCATTTTATCATTTCATTTATATGATATATATTTTTTTCTCTGAGAGAGAGAAACATAATTGGGGTGAACCTGGATTCAAACCCGCGATCATCAAGTTTGTAGCGATCTAATGCAGAGAGACCTGGAGAGAGAGGTGCTTGTATACACAGATCAATGTCCCTGTTTTCGTCCCATGTTTCATGTTGAGGGATATGTGAATGTGCACATAGCTTCCCCGCCGCTCCCGTGAACGTTGT